CAAACTTTGTGAAATCTCAGCTGGGAAAAATAAGTTTGGAAAGTTTGCCTTGGTCTAGACCTTTTCTTTGACCTCCAAGCCCACAGATTCTGTGATCCAGTAGTGCTAATAAGGAATAAGTCTATAGCTATCTATCTACACACCAAGTTGCACAGACTCTCCCTACACTGCCTCCTCAAAGTTATTCTTAGCCTATCTAATTTTTTCCCTTCTCTTCCTGCCTCCTAATGCATAAGTCCTAGCCTCCTTTTCCCTGCCATCATAATTCTCAGGACCATACAGGCATAGAAAGTTCATTCTATTTTATCTTAATTTTGAAGATGATACAAATATTGGAACCCATATTTAAGACATTAAACAATGTATTTTCAGCTATAAAACCAATTTGTGAGGAGACCTGAAAGCTGATTGCTTACCTTTGCAGTTCCTGGAATACTGAGATAGGCCATTTTGGAACCTGTGTCCACTGTGAAACTTTCCACAGGTGTTCCACTGGGGTCCCAGAGAGAAATAATGGGAGACTGTTTGTTCCACGTGATGAGAAAGAATGTGTCCTTTCCCACGGTGCTATCAATTATTACAGTGCCATTCATCCAGAGGTTATTGCTGAGTGTTAACCCCGTACTTTCAAGCTGTTTAAATATATTTAAAAAATTAGTGACTAGAGAAGAGAATACTTTTATTCTTTTTACTTTTTAAATATTGTTCTTAATTTCTGGCCTGAGAACAAGCTTGTGTAGGGAATACCACCTTAGGCTTGTGATCTCTCTGAAAGCTGATTGGGATGTGAGAGTTGTCAGTCAGAAGGTGGAGAAATATAGGGTCTGAGGAAAGGATAGGGTACAATAAAAGCATTAAAGCAGGAGAATGAGTTTTACAGTGGGAGATACGGCCACACTATTTTTTCCCAGTTGTCTTGTGAACACCCACCCCAGGCTTTACCATTAAAGGGAGCTACAACCTCAGAGAAAAATTAGCTGTAAGGTGTGTGCGTGTGTGTGTGTGTGTGTGTGTGTGTTACCCTCAGTTTATCCATTTTCCTGATGACGTAAAAGAAAATACTTATTGGTAGTGGCTAGAGTATTTGAGTAGAAACACAGTAATGGGGGGAGGGCCTCAAGAGAGAAAACCAGGACTAGCGAATAATGAGACAAGCACTCATGAATATTTTCCTGATGAGAAATCTTGAAATAATTCCTCACACATCATAGAGTGAGTAGCAGCGGACAGTAAACATGTCCAACAAGAGTGGAAAGAGGGCAAACTGATGTCCCTGAAGGTTGGAATCCTGAGAAGAGAGGAAGTAAAACATAGGACCTTTCTCTGAGAGGAGCTTCAAAGAAAGTTTTTCAAGTCTTTGTGGCTAGTCACTCTTAGTCAAGGAGAGCCAACTTTATCCAGTGACCTGGAAGGTGCTTCCTACAGAGGTGTCATTTCAGGAGTGATGGGAAATCCCACTTCTACTCCAACCTAGTCCTAAAACAAAACTGCCTTCACACCAGTGCTGATAGAAGAGAGTGATTCTGCCATTGCAACATCACTGCAATGACAAAAATCTCTGTCCTAGGTTAAGTGAACATGTCTTTGAGTGGACAAATTATCATTATTGACTTAAACCTGAATGTGAGTGACATTTTCAGACTCCTCATCAGGAAAGTCTAACAAAGTTAGCAGGCTTTGGCTACATAGTAGTACTAGGGGAAAATAATTGAGTAAAGGGTGGGATGCAGCCTTTCCTCTGTATTCCAGCTGCCACCATCCAAATCCAAGTTCCCATCTACTCAGATTATTGTAACAGACCTCTAACTGGTCACTATTCTCTCCCAAGACCTAGCAACCCATCATGTACACGAATCCAGATTAATCTTTCAAAAATTTGCTTTCTTTTTGTTACTTCTCTATTTAAGAACCTACAAGGCATTTCAAGTGAGGGGAAGAAAACTTTCTTCCTGCTCCTTCCATATCATTTAAAAAGTTCATTCTCAAAACTTTGAGCACCTCCTGCATGCAAATGTCTCCTTTCTAGCTGATCTCCCATGTTCTGCTCTTATATTTTAAATTCCTTTGGAATATTCCATTTTAATGTCTCACTATCCACTAACAATTACTAAAGTGAAAAGAGAACACAAAATAATATCCTCAAAATCAGTTCTCCACTTTGCTTGTCTATTTTAGATAGTACCATCACCATTCTCTCAGTCAACCCAATTGAAACCCTCAGAAACGGGCTTTATTCTCCTTTGGTTTATTCTCCATACACTGTCAAGCTAGATCTCAGACCAATATTTCGTTTGTTTGTAGGGTAAAGCTACAGGCCAGATCTCCAAGCCAATCTGCGTGTATTATCCTAACCGTGCATTCTATAACTTCTGTGCTCTTTATTATTGGGGAGTAGATGCAAAAAGGTTTGTTTAGGTGATCCTGGCAAGTTGTAATGTAGGCAGTGACTTGATGAACTGGAAGATGGAAGAAGGAAGTTTTGGCATGATCTAGCCTTGGTGGGAATGGGTATGGATAGAAACAGAATTTTGTAAAAGTATTTTGAAGTAAACAGGCTATGTTGACACATATGGGAAAAGAAAAAGAAAAGATGTTTGCTATTTCACTACTTACTTTGGTCATGTCTAAAGAATAATTCGTATTTCAGACTGCATTTTGACTTTAATTAAAAATTTACTTTGAGGGGGCCGGCCCCATGGCATAGCGGTTAAGTGCGCAGGGTCTGCTGCTGGCAGCCCAGGTTTGGATCCTGGGCGCGCACAAGGCACCGCTTGACAAGCCATGCTGTGGCGGCGTCCCATATAAAGTGGAGGAAGGTGGGCACAGATGTTAGCCCAGGGCCAGGCTTCCTCAGCAAAAAGAGGAGGATTGGCATGGATGTTAGCTCAGGGCTGATCTTACTCATAAAAAAAAAAAAAATTTACTTTGAGAAAAATATAGAACTCAAAACTTATAACAACCAAATTATTTTTCTTGGTTATGGCTAAATGCAAACACAAATACCTAAGGAGTGTGAACTCTGACCTGAAGAGACTGCTGGGAGAGATCTGCGTTTCCTGACACAAGGGCTGCGAAAGCGTCAATGAGGCCATTGTTCTGGGCTTCATCTGAAGCAAAAAAATGGCTTCCTCCTAAAATGTAAATACATTGACTGTTGCTTTTTAGAAAATAAGTTCTTATCACATTTTAGTGATTAGTAAAGTAACAGGGTCAACAAAATCATAGTTTCAGTAGGGATTATTAAAATAGATCAAAATCAGATAGGTGTAAAGATTAACTCTGAAATGTTAACTTCAAAGTCTCATAGCCAGGAAGTGTAAGCGACCTTTATACTTCACTTATAGAAATCTTAGCTGGTTGAAATGCATCAAATAATCATAGAATACGAAAGAAGATGTTACAATTCCGTGATTAAAGCTCACAGACTTCACACAGCCCTTTAGGGGAATTAATCACTTTTACTTAAGATATAGTTCTAACAATGTTGGCTTTTAGATTTTCCAGCCAGAGTAGATCAGAATCAGAAAATCGGAAAGGTTAAGGAGCTGCTATATTGAGTTACCCTGACCATAGCTGGCAATGAGGAGATAGAAAAACAGTAAGTGAGAGAGACAAGTTCAAAAAAGCACTACTTTTGGATGAGATAGTTGGGACAGAAATAAAGTTTACACTGGCCATGAAAGTACTTTGAAACAGTGAGAGTTTGTACAACTAAGCTTTAAAAAGCAAGTATGTATTTGGTAATACTAGAAGTCAACTCAGTACAATAATTGATATTCATAGTGTTATAAATTATGTATTTTCTACCATGTTTAAGAAGGCACTGAAAACATTTAGTCCTTTTTCATCACATGTAGTTAATCTAGAAACTTTGTTGTTATTTAGATTTATTTAGCCTGAGCTTCAGTTAATCTTATCTCCCCCACCTAGTAGCCTGTGCTCTGATCTCCCGGATTTCCCACTATCTCTTCATGTGCCTTGCATTGTCATCCCAACATGATCTTTTTGCTCATGACCTGATCATCTTCTCTCACCCCTTCTTCTTCCAGAGAAACTCAACACCTCGTTCAAGGCCCAGCTTAGAAGTTGCCTTGTCTCTCATGTTTTCTTTCCCTGACTCTGTACAACCCTGGGAGAATTAATGGCTTCCTCTGCTCGCCTGGTGCTTTCTTCCTATATATTCCTTTTGTTGTGGAGGAATGTTATCTGATTATGCTATCTTTTTTTTTTGTGAGAAAGATCAGCCCTGAGCTAACATCAATGCCAATCCTGCTCTTTTTACTGAGGAAGACTGGCCCAGGGCTAACATCTGTGCCTATCTTCCTCCACTTTATATGGGACACCAACCACAGTCTGGCCTGACAAGCGGTGCATCGGTGCGTGCCCGGGGTCCGAACCCAGGCCGCCAGCAGCAGTGCGCGCACTTAACCGCTATGCCACGGGGCGGGCCCTGATTATGCTATCTGATTAGTAGTTTTATTTGTCTCTGCAGCCAGCTGGACTGTGAGCACCTTGAGAACAGAGATCAGGTCTGGTTTAACTCTGGTCCCAAGCTCTTGGCACAGCACCTGCAGAGCAAGAGCTTGAGAGAAGTTGCTGATTGTCAGCCCTACACTTATGCATTGCTATCAAAGGACTAGAATATATAGGTCATATTTTACCTGTTATGGTGCTCATCTCTGTGACTGCTGCATCAGCAGATGGTCCCAGAGCAATGAAATGAATGATGGCCCCACTTTGTTTCACTTCCTCAACACAGCTCCCTGCAGTGTTATCCTCCCCATCGGTCAGCAGCACAATTTCAGATCCATCTATTTCGGAGGATATTTCTCTAATTACCTGCAAATATAATCAGAGTGTAACTATAAGTGTTCCTAGATCAAAGACTTATGGGAGATTAGAAAAAATGCACTGAGAAAACAAACAAAAGTGTGCAGAAAGGAAGAGATAGCTTCTGTTTAATATCATTGAATCTGCAATCAACAACTTCTGGGGGAACGTAAGCATACTTTTTATTTTCTATCATCTGCTGTAGGGCATGTTTGCTCAAATGAAGTTATATGAGAGCAGGGCTGTGGAAAACCCCAGCTGGGTTAAAATACAGTGACATCTCAGTCTGGGAAACTCATGTCAACCAGACACAGAAAATATAATTGTAGAATGTGTGGTATATATACACAATGGAATACTACTCAGCCATAAGAAACGATGAAATCCAGCCATTTGTGACAACATGGATGGACATTGAGGGTATAATGCAAAGTGAAATACGTCAGAGGGAGAAGGTCAAATACCGTATGATTTCCTTCATTAAGTAGTAGATAATAACAACAATAAACAAACACATAGGGACAGAGATTGGATTGGTGGTTACCAGAGGGGAAGGGGGGAGGGAGGAGGGTGAAAGGGATAATTCGGTACATGTGTGTGGTGATGGGTTGTAATTAGTATTTTGGTGGTGAACATGATGTATTCTATGCAGAAATAGAAGTATAATGATGTACACCTGAAATTTTTACAATGTTATAAACCAATGTTACTGCAATAAACAAAAAATTAAAAAAAAAAAATATTTCTCTGCTCTTTGACCAGACTGCTTTCTGATAAGCCTTCTGTGTATAGTGTGCGGCATATATAGCCAGATGCATTAAGACTCCAGCTCAATATTAAAAATAACTTAACTGATTGCAAATCAGGAAACCCTCAGTATATTTATAAAGAACAGATATAAAAAGTTCTAAGCAGGTCAAGGCTAGGAATTTTGTTATATAATTTATTTTGCCTCTAATAGTAACAAGCACAAACTTAAGATTATTGGTAGTGCTCAAAGAATACATGAATTATATCTGTTAAGATTGAGTTTTATTTGTGGTATGAATCCATTTCCTATAAAACCAGACAGTTTGGTTTAAAAATTTAAAAATATTTATTGAGAATTGGGTGAGAGACTGGGGAGACATAGAGGTGAGTGACAAAGACACAGCTAACGTATTCTATAGTTCAGGAGAAACAAAGCAATATTACACTGCTACCATTTACTGAATACTTGCTCGGTTTAAATGTATGTTATACACTGTATAATTTAATCCAAGTCCAAACTCCCAACCCATCCCTAGATCACAACCCCGCTACCACTCTACTCCCTATAATTTATTTCCTATGGGACAACCAGAATCATCTTCCTAAATCATAAATTGATTATCAGTCTCTGATGCTTAAAGCCCTTCAGTAGCTTTCTGTTGTGCTTAAAATAAAATACAAACCTCTTATTATATTTTTTGAAGCTTTGAAAAAACTAGCCCTGTTTACCTGCCAACCACATTTCATACCCGCTCATTTGCCAAACTCCAGTGTCACTAGCTCCTATCATTTCTTAGAATAATCCAGTTCTTTTCCACCTTTTCCCCAAGGGACTTTGCACTTTCCTTTCTGCCTGAACCACTGGCCCCTTGTCATCCTTCAAATCTTAGCTTAAATGTCACCCTTCAGAGAGAGTCCCAGTGGCCTCTCTACCTAAAATAGGCAGTGCCCCTCCTTTCCCAGTTACTCTATGACATCCCTCTGTTTGGTTCCTTCACAACACTATCTCCACAATCTTCAATTATAGTTGTTTTAAATTATTTATTTATTGATCATGCATGGATGCATGATCTGTTCCCCACTGAAACAGCATGCAGCACAAGAGTAGAGAAGCTTTGTTTGGCACATAAATATATGTTCAATAAATTATATTACATGTTTCCCCCCTACTCCCTACAATAAACATATGTTGAATAAATTAAAACATGATCAGTCTTATGTGCTAGCTTTCATTGGCCCATTTTACTGAGTAGGTAATTGAAGGCTAGAGAGGTGAAGAATCATGCTTAGGGTCACAAAGCTAGTAAGTGATCACTGGAGTTTGAACCCAGGACTTCAGGTTAGAAAGCTACAGTGAAATGCCATGCTATTCATAAAAGAGGGGGATTCAACAGGGGTGAGAGTCGCAGGAAAAGCTACATGAAGGAGCAAGGATTTTCAAGACTTGGTAGAACTTTAACATGCAAAGATGGAAAGAAGGAAACATTTTAGGCAGAGGAATGCGTGGACAAAAATACGCAGGCTGCTAGTACACCGTGTCTTGGAGAGCAATGTGTGCAGTAAGTTGGTTGGTGCATAGAGTGTCAGGACGGGAGAACTGAGAAAAAAGCTGGCAAGAGAGGTGAGGTCAATTTTATTGAGGGGCGAGAGACTCGAATAACATCAGACTGAAGAATTCAGATTCAATTTTAGCAGGAAAATGACACAAATGACATTGATTATGAGCTCTAGATGACCATTTGGATAAAAATAAGATTCATAATAATAGTTATGGTGAATTATATATTTACTATGTAATATAATAGATATGGTTCTAAGTATGTAAATGTATCATTTCATTTAATCCTCATAATAGTCCTATGAGGTGGGCATTCTTGTTTTCTATATTTTAGAAATAAGGCCCTGAGATTCCAAAGAGACTGAAATTTTGTCTAAGATCCCATAGCTAGTAAGTAGCAGAGCCAGCACTCTGATGTCAGACTCATGTTCTGACTAGTCTTCTTACCCCAACTCTGACTAACAGTCCCTGCCACATCTACTTTAATAGACAAACATCAGTTTTCTCTAACTGAATGTCACAGAAACTGAAATCAGGATTGGCCCAAAGCGGAGTCATACCAGATAGCTTGCTTCATTGCATTAAAATCTCATGACTTTTGCTGCCCAAGCACACTTATCTATTTATCACTTTTTGAGCACTGACTATTGCATGGTATCAAGACAGACAAAGTCCCTCCCCTCATTGGGCTTGTACTCTAGTGGCATTTTAATAGTCATTTATTCACTTATTAGTTTATTTGTTGATTTACTGATCCATTAAAAAATCATCGAGTGAATTTTTCCATGGGCTTAGTCCTGTGCTTCTTAGGATTAGTTATGTCAAAATTAGGGAGCAAGTATAAGCAGCAGCATTTAACATACAAATGTCCTAATAATAAAAAATAACAATTATATTTGCAGTATGATTTTCACCTGAAATGCTGATCTAATTCCGCTGCAGATGGAAGTTCCTCCAGAAGCTGCTGTAGGTAAACTCTCCAAGAGCTTGTTTCTTTCGTTGCTGCTTAGTATTTGGATTAAATTACTTTTAACCTCGGCTTTACTATCAAAGTGCACCATCCCCACCCAGGATCCGTTTTCAATGGTCTGAAGCAGGAAATGTTTTGCTGCTTGATTCATTCGATTTAGGCGATTATAACCCTGAGTAAAAAAGGACAAGAAAAAAACCTAAATGGTTTTCAACTGGAAAATAATGGCAGATCACATAAAATGAATGAATAGAATTTGCTGTTAAGAATTTTCTATCAATAGTAATTGATGTTATTAAAGAAAGCAATAATTTTTTGTCAGTTGTTGAAATTGAAAAATATAGTTATGTGTATTATGGAAAACATATAGTACGGAAAGCAAGCTTATAAGCAGAGCTGATTATTGACTGCTAAGCACCATAATTAGAGGAGGAGGGTACGGGGGGTGTTGGGTTGCATTTGGAGGGTGATGACTCACATCTGAGAGTCTGCCTAATTACTCTTGGGGTCCTCTGTTAGTTGTGTTCAGATGAAACCACTCCCCAGATCCTACAATATCTAACCAGACTATCATGAACTCCACCTAGAGACCGAAATCTCCTCATCCACTGGGGAATAGACTACCCAAATGATGAAACTTGCTCAAGATGCAGCTATAATCTGAGAGGCCCAGTCCCTACCTCACCCATTTCGTCTTCTGCTCCTACCTCTTCCCACCATTTCCCCACCAATGGATTAATTGGAATTGGTTCTTTGATAAGTTATTAAGACTCACATCTCTCTTTCCTACATGAATGCCCATGATGTAAGCTTCTTCAAAAATTTGTCTTTTCCAGTCCCTCAACACCAACTGATCTATAGTATTTCCCCCAACACGTGCCCAAATTTCCTTCTGAACTCCATAGAACCAAATCACAGTGAGAAACTCCTGCCACATCCCCATCTTTGAGGGCTCTCTTTACTACTTTGCTTTACCTTTACACTTGGCTCTATCTGCATCCTGTCTAAGGGAAGCTGCTCATCTCCCAATCAGGAATGTCATCTCTTCCCAGCAACACTTCCTAGAACACTTCTATGAGTTGGTGTCTAGCACTCTGATGCTCTTTCTGAAACGCTGTGCTATTGTGGATTATTCCATTCATATTTTGCTCTTTTCAGGAACCACCCAATCCCCATTTGTTGAAGATATTATTCCTGATCTTCAGCATGCTCTGTTCTTCCTCAAATATGCCATTCTTCTGAATACCTTATCACGTTACAACTGCTCAATTGTAGTCCATTCATTTCACCAATTATTTATTGAGTGTCTATATGTGATAAACCCTTTTCTAGGCATAAGGGATACAAAGATGAATAAGACACTGTCTCAAGACCTAGAGACATGATTCCTAGAGAACATTGTTTCAAGTCGTAGAGGAGCTCCCAGTCTAGTGGGAGAGAAGTCTATAATTTCAACATAGTTTAAAGTAATAGAAGTTTTCACCGGTGATTGTTGGAGCCCTGCCTAGAAGCCTAGCCTGTCTCCACCTGGGAAAATGGGTGCCTCTACCAAATTTTGAAGACTATGTATGAATTAACCAGGTGATGGGAAAGGGAGAGAAAATTTTCTCTATTGAACTGTAAACTCTTCAAGGATATGGGTTTCTATTCCTAGAGCCCAGCACAATGCCTACCATTGAGTGAGTGATAGTAGAAGGAATGAATGGCTGAATCTGGCCATATCTACATTATGGTGCTGCTTTTTGTCTGTGTCTTTGAGCATAAAGAGGTTATTTATATAGATGATGAAAATTAAGATAAAACCATGTTAAGAATTCTCCTGGTTGATCTTGTCCCTTGACTTGAAATGGAGTTCAGAAGCCCCTAATCCACTCTCTCCTCATGTTTGTCAAGTATTTCCAGTAGATAGCGGGGGCAAGATTAGAAAACATTTTTATATTTCAATTTCTAGTTCTGATCTTCTAACTAAAGCTTTACTAAAGGGCCTGAAAGTCCTCCTTAATAAACCCTCCATTTTCTGGAATAAATAGAGACTCTTGGGTTAGGTCTTTTTAACTCTATTGCCATCGTTCTTTCATTACAGTATTCACTGCCTCTTTTGAGGTCATGATCACAAGAAGTTGTAGGAGATCAAGATTTGGCCACCCTGAAATATATCTCTTTACTTTAATTGTTTTCTCTGAGGGACATTTGACCTCCCCCACTAACTGCCTAACGAATTTGACATGGTGGCTCCTTCCTAGAATAGATCTTCTACCATGATGGCTGTAATGATAATGTAAAATAGATGTTACAATGGGAGGGGCACCAAGCCCCTTTTATCAAAAAAACTCTATATTTCTCTGACCACATTATCTATAGATGAACCTGAAAAGAATTGTCTTCTTGCCCTCTGGAGTCCCAGACCATTACCCACCCCCAATACCTTCCTCGTCTTTAGCTGTCTAAGCAAGCAGCTTAGACAGAGGGACGAGTTGCTCGTTTCTGACTTTCTCCCGTGTATACATGTTATTAAACTTGGTATTATTTTCTCCTGCTAACCTGTCTTGTTAATTATTTGGCCAGCCATAAGAACCTTAAGGGAAAGGGCACAGGGGGATTCTTCCTCTTCCCCCAACAAAGTGATGGTACTTACACCACCATGCAATTTAGAACAATTCAGGTGCAGGTGGCATTCAGAGTGTTCTTAGGCATTCAATCACTTCCTTGTCCCTACATCTAGGAAAAATGGGCTCACAAACTTACCGCCATGCTTCCAGACTTATCAAGAACTAAGCACACAATTCTTTGACTGATCTTCAGCAATGAGAACACAGGTGGAGGGGGTGGTGCCACCATAGATGTTGTGTTTTTAAAATCCTCAGAATTGCTGATCACCTCCCATGTGCTTCTGGAATTGCACATTTTGTTTTGTAGGCTTGGAGCTTCTCGGTTATGGTTTTTTTCATTACAGAATTCAATGATCTAAAAGGTTAATAAAATGAAAAAAATAATTTTTATATGTTTTCTCTTTAAAACAACTAAAAATCTGAAAAATATTAAAAATCTCTTCTCCAAATATGTCGTTTATTGGATGAAATATGATTCACTGAGGAATCATTTAATAGTAAAGTGGATTTTTAAAAGTACTAATCACTTGTAACACTAGTTGAGTGCTTATTATGTGCCAGTCAATGTTCAAAGAACTCTATTTTAACAGAACTCTAATCTCTCAGGTCACCTGCACAGATATTTTATAAACATAATAACATGTCCTTTGATTATAAATATACAGTCTGAAGTAATGATTGATATACTTACAGAATCAATCCCTTGCATAAACATTATAGATGCCTTTTCAGTTTGATCTTTATCAGGGAAGAACAGACAATCTTTTTCATACAGTTTTGTCTTAGAATCAATTCTGCATCCTCTGGCAGTACAGCTGTTTCCTTGACACTTATAAACCCTATTTATACCAGTAATACCTGTGGAACATCTAAAAATATGTGGCAGTTAGTCTTTGAGGCAACATAACAATCGAAATTTTTTAAAAATCTCAAGTGTCTTTATATTAAAGTTTTTAACTGGCCATTATATCAAGATTTTTATTCTTATTTATGTACCACACACATCTTATTTTGACAGCAAAGTTTAATGGTTCCTACGAGAGCAGTTGTCTGTTTTTCGAGAAATTGCAGAGGGAAATTTTAAGTGGGGTCTCCAGTATACGCAATGGCTGAGTTCTCTGCTGGGATTAAAGCTCCTGCTGTCCTGCTTACACTAATGGCTGGAGGCTCCTCTTTTCCAAACATCTCTCCTGGTGGCCTTGTGATGGTAAATGCTCTGCAGGCGTCTAGACAAGGCAACCTGTGAAACCAGTTATTCTCAATACCACCTTAGCTTACAATTCTTTGTAGATTTTGGTTCATAAGGATATCCCCAAAAGAGTGAGATGTGGTACAGCAACAAGTGTTTTGATTATTCAAGGAGCATTTTTATCCAAAGTGAAATGTGGCTTGAAGGAAAGATTGAGGTACGGCCTAAGAGAGTAAAGAATGGTGCAGGCATTTTAGACATATGTTTTATTGCATGGAATTGGTCACAGGTGGCAGTAATTACAACAAATATGCTGGGATGTGCATATATCCCATCTTTTCAATATGTTTCCAGTACAAATTCAAGAAGCGATGACTAGATTTCATTCTGTCATTTAGGAAGTCTCCTAAATATGTCTATACTTCCATTGGTCCAAAATTCAGTGAACGTGATGTTATATTAACAACCATGATGAATATTCTATAGCAGAGACTAGACATTTAGGGATAATATGTTATAAATAAACATAATTGATGTAATACTCTTTAAATATGTGTCTTGAAACTAGTGCAATAGGGCTGAGGAAGGGCTTTCCCTGAAATCACGTATCTTTCAGTTTGTACATTTTTGGTAAGTCCCCAGCTTCATCAGGCCATCTAAGATTGATTAAGCTGATGGCACCTAATTTTAAACCGGTTCCCAACAACAATTCTGCTCTCTTGATCTCAGAACCAAGAGGATTGTCTATTATTAATTATGACGTTAGATTGGTATTTTAAAATGAGCTTTATAAACTCAAGAAATTCCTATTTGCCTCCTTGAAGCTGGATGATCTCTTACTCAGCCCACATTTGCCACTACTTCTAACCATTGTTTCTTTTCATTCCGGTATAGCATAAATAACTTTGATCTCCTCTCATATAGTAAAACTTTTCTACAGAGAACAACTTCAGTGTGACTGAATTCTGGCAGCTATGGTAGAGAGGCATAAAATATGTCAAATTGGCTACCAAATGCTCTTGAAGTTATGTATATTTTAAATGGACAGCCAGCTACTTTAAGGTACATTTTCTAAAAAAACGAGAAAAGCACTGTTTAGTGATACAGCATCTGTTATGTGCATTGGGACAAAAATGAATGACTAGCTTTTGAAAGAAATCAAACTAAGAAAAATAAGTTACAGCCTGAAGTAATTTAAGAAAGTTTAAATGGTCATGCCTTGTTGCTTCAATTTTTTTTGACTTAGCACTGTAGTAAGGCTCATCTTCATTGTACTCGTCAAACACTCCCCAGCGGAGATGGGCCCACTCGTGGACAAACAATTTACCTGTGGGAAAATATTCCAAATACGTGATCATAATTCAAGTGACAAAATTTGTCCCTCAAATATTTTGAGAAATCTTTTTCAAACAAAAAATATTTATATTTAGTTGTTAGATAACTGCCAACATTTATATTTTTGTTTATAAAAAAGTATATTACATTACATTATATTATATTGTGTTACATTGTAAAGTATATCATCTTTTTATTCCACAACATGTTAAATCAACAAAACATTTATTAAATATATATGCTATTGGTGGAATAGATGGGACTTTGGGTTTTGATTCCTGGGGGGCAAAAAGTCTTAGATATTATGGTGGTTTTGCCTCTCTAACATTCACTCCTACCAACAACATAAACAGATATATAATATATCTGTGGTGTTAAAATTTCATAAGGGTGCGATTAGTTAAAAAATGTCTATAAATTATCCTTAGGAGGTTGATAAAAAAAAAGATAGGAAAACACTGCTATTGACCATAGATAATCTTGGGGGTGTCTAAATGAAGTGATTAATTTATAGTACTTAGCACATATAAGCATTAATTATATGAAAACAATTATTATTAATTATATATATACAGCACTATAGTAGGTAGTAGGAAATATAAAGATGAGTAAAATATAGTCCTTGACTACGAAAATCTTAGAGAGAGGGAATCAGAATAAGAATTTTTTTTTCTAAGAATTTCAGGGTAAATGGAAGAATAAAGGTAAATCCAAGCTTGAAATGCAGGAAAAAGAGACAAGTAGAATTTTCGTTTTAGCAATATTTGTAAAACTTCAGAGGAAATAGAAATGAAAAAGGAGAAGTTGGAAATACAGTCTATTCTGCTTCAATATCTATTTCTCTAACTCTAATTAACTCATGAGGTCTGAAAATAGGGGGAAAACGTCAGTATTATGCAAAAGTCAAGTTTCTTCTTCAAATCCCTGCTACTCAAAATGTGTTCCTTCAACTAGCAGCATCTGCATCACCTGGGAGCTAACGAGATACACAGAATCTTGGGACCTACTCTAGACCTTCTGAATCAGAATCTGCATATTTACAAGATCCCTAAGTCATTCCTCTGCACGTTAAACTTTAAGAACACTGGTTTAAGGTTTCTTAGGTAAATGGAGCTGGATTAGTGAGTATGGAATTATAACCTTCCATAAGGAGGAAAAAGCCCTCATATTAGCTACTGCAATATGAATTTGGTGAATTTTAAGAAAATTTAAAACTGCCTGCGTCTATGACTCCCTTTATAGAGAGACGTGCTTCCTTCTCAGCTCATGGCTGGTTGTCCTGCCTCCAATGCCCACCTTCATTTGCTAAGAGAATAGATTTCAGGTCCTCTCACCACAAACACACTAGTGTACTATGTGAGGAGATGATATGTTAATTAGGTTCACTTTAGGGATCATTTCACTTTGTGTATGTACATTGAATCGTCATGATATAGACCTTATATCTCTACAATTTTTATTTAAAAAAAAGCAGCCCCTCTGACTTAGAATTGCATTCCCATAGACATCATTGTCTCACTTCCCACTAGCCCTGTTCTCATTTCTAAAAGCATTTCCTCTGTGTATGTGTGTGTGTGTGTACTTTTAATATCTGCTATGATGGCAGCATACAGCCACACTGGGCTGATGTCCAGGTGGTCCAAATGATCTTCCCAGATAGCTATTGTTATATCTGTTATCATCTTTATTACCAATTGCATAGATGTGGGGACTGTCTTCTTCATCTTATTTTAGGGCATTGTTTGCAGAATGTGAGTTTTTTCATAAACATATAGATCACATTATGGCAGAAACACCTGTTTAAGAGGGAGGGGAAACTGGCAGTTATGGGATTGGGTTGAGGTCTGGGGTATGGGAAAAGAACAAGAGCTGAAGTGGGGACTTTGGTTTAAAAACTGGAGAAAATCCTCCTCTTCTAAGACAGGTGGAGGTGGGAAGACATGAAGGTGGACTTGAGTTTGGAAGTAGAGAGGAAGAAGGTCAGGGCCTTTATTTTTTCATTCAAGGCATCTGTTGATTGATGGGATTGAAAGGAGTGACTAGAGATCTTCAGAAAAATGGTAGAAGCTTTAGAACCACTGCTATGGGGACTATAAGGGAGCTGAGAAGAGGTAAGTAAAAATATTGTTGAGCTTTGAATGCTTCCCTGAGCTTAAAAAACCTGTTTTGTAATGATACCAGTTAGTTTTGTCATTTTCTTTCACATATGTTTTCTTGGAGCATATTAACAGGAGACAAAGGAAAGTGCCTGGAAACTCAGTACAGAGGATTTGGCAAGTGGAATGAAACATAAGGATAAGAGTGGTGAGGGAGTTGAGCAATTGATACTTGTAGTTGAACTGACTGACTTTCTGGACATGCCAGGTAGGAAAGAAAGTATAGCTAGAAGGGTGCAAGGGATTAGAGATGCCAAGGAGAACAACATATTTAGGCTAAAGTATGGGGGAAAGGTAAGATTGGGATGGGATGTGATGATGGAGTTTTCAAGATTGGGGTGGGGAACAGGTCCAAGTAATGATGAGGACCAGGGCTAGTTGAGTGTTTGACAGAGACAAGAGACTTAATGTATGCCCATTGAAAGAGCAATGGGAGGAGATTCTGGAGTATGCAGATTCAGGAGGACATCCGTTGAGTAGTGACATGTGAGTTGGGCCCTCCTTTAACAATGATTTGCATTTTATATAAAAAATAATACGCTTTAGTTCATTTGAACCAGTAATCTTAACTTTTAGATGGAACTAGATGAAATTGTCATTTTAATAGGTAAAAATGATCATTTATAGACAAGTTCATCTGGTTCAGCTAAATAGATTGAATGACAATATCAGCAACTAACAGCCTATGAGTGTTTTCTCTTGGCCAGGAGCTGGCATCTTGGCTCTTTCCAGCTTACCAGGCATTTGCCTTCCATGGAGGCAGCATGCAATTGATTAATATCCAGCTGTAGAGAACTGGAAAATTAAAATCTAAAAAGTACACCAAAAGAAAACATTCAGTATTGCTGCCATGTATTGAAATTTCTGTAGACACTATACTGACTGCAGTTATGTGGATTATCTAATTTAATGTTCACAGCAATCCTATAAGGTAGGAACTCCTCTATTCACCATTGTACAGGAAATAAGGACAGAGAGGCTAGGTCACTTGTCCAAGGTCACACACAGCTGATAAGTAGGGGAGTCAGGATTTGAACGTAGAGACTCTGGCTCCAAGGCTTGAACATTAACCTGGATACAAAGCTGCTTGTTCGAAGCATTGCAAAATATGTGTTTTAGCCAAAATTCCTACCTGATGGTCCATATTCACTTTGTTTTTTTCCAAGTACAAAGTCGGGGGTGAAATGAATATATTCTCCTTTTTCTTCACAGGCTGTGAACTGCTTGGTGTATGGGTCATCTCTACCTGGGAGGGTAGGTGGTGCAACTAAAACATCAGCCTGAGAATGTTTAAAAAGATTTTTAAGATGTCAGAAACAGAAATGATACCATTTAGTCTGAAAAATTCTGAAATGATCAGTCTGCTCCCAAACCGAGAGGCAGCAGGAAACATAATTTTGAAGAGAAGGTTTTTAACTCTTACGTGTTCATAGCTTTCATGTTTTGGCCTCTTGTATTCAGAGTTTTCCTTCCAATTCTCAGGAATTAATATTGATACATTTTTGAAAAAGAATCTTTTTTCTGTGGCTTCAAAGAGGTAAGTAGATGCTGTAGTCACCATGTCCTATTATTAAAGGAAAAATATATGTGAGGATGGCCACGTGACAGTGGACTAAATGACAGGGGTTCATCACAGGCATTTCCCAACTTAAGAGTAGATAGAAAAGGCAACTGACTGAAGAGCAGGGGCTCTGCCTCACAATTCCAACTCAGCCACCTGTCGGTCCAAAATTATAGCTTCATCCTCCACATTAAAGGTTGAGTCTTCAATGATCCTTCATCAAAAGGCAAATGCTTGTGTTGGCGTTAAGAGAAACTGTATAAAATGATAAAGGCATAGACTTTAGTGTCATCTACTTTGTTCCAATACTGGCATCAGCACTTTCTGGGTGAGAGAGCTTGGCCAATTTATTTAACGCCCTGAAACTCAGTTCCCTCATCTCTTAAATGGACTATTACAACCTATCCTTAATGTCGGCATAAGCATGAAATGAGTTTTCAAGTACTCTACACATAGGCAGTCATAAAACTGGTTGATATCATTACGTTTATAGAGTCCTAGTAGAGAACAGCCATAGCTGATGCAAGCTGAGAACAGTCTGTAGGGATGGGGCATAGGAGAGGATTTTCATTATAATCCCACCCCCTGAGGAGAGGCAGCTGGGTTGGGATCCTGTGGAGTAGGGTGACGGAAAAATTCATAGGAGAGGCAGAGCTTTGTGATCATAGGCAGAGCTTATTGCTCTGCCAACAAGCTGAAAATAATATCACCTTATATTTTTCAGTATCCTGAACCCTGAGATGCAATGATTAATAAGAGAAATAGTCCCTGCCTAGAGCTTACTGTCTACTGGGGGAAATAGATGGGTGAAAGTGTCTTATTCTACATGATCAAACCCACTGAATAATTGAGGGATCCTGGGTGCTGGATGATGGTGTCAACCTCTTCATCTTTCTGCCAGCATCCCAGTCAACAGTGACGTTTTCTTCTTGGCAGGCTCCTGTCCTCCATGGTGCTTCCTGACCTACCATAAGCCCACAACAGAACTGTACTTCAGGAATTCCGAGGCTCTACCGTATTTTCTTGAAGACAGTCCAGTGTACTGACTCTAATGTACTGAGGAGATCAGTAAACTGGGTTCAGAGCCGTGGGATCAATCAGAAGCCAGAGTACAGAGAACTGAAGGCCCAGCAGACTGGCTAGGAATCAGAAAAAGGGCTTCAGAGGTCTTCTCACGTAGATAGGAGGTTACTTCATCACTGGCCTAAAGCAGATGAAAGAATGTCTCTTAGGGAAAGAATTCTCTGTTTCCTAAGGATGCCTCTCCTCTTTTTTTGTTTTGGGTTATTAAGATCTCAACCAGTTACCCTCTGCTTGAAGTGATGGCTCTCTCTGTGGCTGTGATATGAAAGTGTATATGGTGTTTGAATTGTGGTACTGATTGGAAAAGTCGGGTTGCTGCATGCCGTTGTGTGGGCTGTGCTTTGTACATCTCCAAGGGATTCCATTTTCTCTGTTGTCTCCATATGCAACTCCCTTGGGTAGTGGAATGTTCTCAGGTCATGGAGGGATTTCACAGACCCTATATCAGATGACTGTGATCCCCTGGGATATACTAGGGTGGCTAATAATGCTTCTCAGAGGTTTTCTAAGCAGAATTCCTGTAATATTTCTTCTAAATTCCTTCTCAGAATTCCTATAATATCCTAGTTGGATCAAAGAAGATTAAGACATCAATATTTCCAAAACTAAGTACTCTCAAACCAAAAAAACACATGAATAAAAGGAATAAGGAGAGTTGACAATTCACATCTTAGGTCATGAATTATGAATCACTTCAGCAAAACATCTTATTTGGTCATTTGGTCAGAGAGTATCCCAACAGTAATGTTCTGTCCACAAATTGGTTCATCATTTACAAAATACAATGGTTTCTGTTATCTCATACAAGCCAGAACAGAAACCCAGGTCTCTCAGCCTTTAAAGCCCCTGTACTGTATCTCAGCTCAGACTGTGCTATTTAATGTAATGTTGGAAAAATTATTTTCTTCTCCACTATCAGTTTTCTCTTCTGTATAATGTGGATGAGAGTATTTCACAAGGTTGCCTGATAATATAAATGAAAGGATTTTGTAGAGGGTTGGGAGACTGTCAGGAAACATTCTGTAATCTAGGCATGTCTACTAACAATCAATATTTTACTTGTAGTGTTCAATAAAGGATCATTTAAACAATTTTTGCCCCTACAAATAATTCTTCCAAATACTGATTCCAGGGGTTCATAAAAGTTTGAAACTGGTTGGCTATCCTTGGACACTAAGAAGCCATCAGTCAGAATCAGCTATATTAACTGCTATTCAAGCCTGTGTCCTTGCGTAAAGGAATCTTTACCTTCCCCTGGAATTCCAAAAGTGTCAATAAGTGAACACCACTAGCTGCAAGAGTTTTTACAGAATGAGTGATAAATGGCAGCCACAGAATCACCTACTGACCACTCAGGTCATGCCCATCAGCTTCTGGTGGATAACAACACCCATGCAGAAGGCCAAAACAGTGAGCATAAGGACACAGTAGTGGAGGAATTGAATATAAGGAATTAGTAAATGTCAGGGATGGGGGAACTAATTTACATGGCTGTAACACTAATCTCTTGATTACAAGGAATGTTATAGTTGGAAGAAACTTTAGAAGTCAGAGTCCTTGGTTCAGTCCTGGAGACTCTCTTCCATCTGCACTTCCTAGTGAACTCATTTATTCTCATGGCTTTAAATCTTGTCCACACACTGATGACTCCCAAATTTTTATATCTCCTCAGATATTCTCTCTGAATTCAGATTCCTCAGTCTATCTACGTGGATAGCTAATAAGCATCTCAAATTCAAAATGTCCAAAACTAACTCCTGATCTCCCAACTGCCAAATTTTCTCCACTTACAGTCTTCCTCTTAATTGACGATAATTCCATCCTTCTAAAACACTTGGAATCTTCTGTGACTTCTATCTTTCCCTCCTCACACCTACACCCGACACATCTAAACTATCATCAAGTTAGTCTATGATACCCTCCGAATATGTTCAGAATCACCCACTTGAATGATTTCTACCACAGCAGCCCTGTTCCTAGTCACGGTCCCTTCTCACCTGCAACAGCTTCCTACCCAGTGTCTCTCTGCCTCTCTCTGCTGCAACAGAGCTTATACAGGATGAGTGACAAGTGGAAACCCTCTACAGAGTTTCCTCAACACTGCAGTCAGAGTGATCCCAGAATATGCACAAGAGAGCACACCCCTCCTATGTTCAGAGTCCTTTCATGGATTCCCATCGCACTCAGAGTAAAAGCTCAAAAAGTCTTTCTGGTGGCCTGGGCCCTCCTACCTCTCCACTTCAGCTCTCCCCAGCCTTCCTTCTGCTCATTCACACTTATTTCCTTGGTCACATCCAGCATGCCCTCACCTCCATCCCGCTGTGCCTGCCATTCCCTCCCCCAGGTTTTCATTGGACTCTTCCCTCACTCATCTCAGGTCTCTGCTCAGATGTCACATCAACAGCGAGGCCCTTCTTGACTACCTGACATTAAACAGTAACCCACATTCTCCCCCTACTCCAGGCCCACCAACATTACCTATCCCCCTTTGCTGATTTATTTTACTCCGTAGCAACTACTACCATCTGATCTGATATAGATTTACATGTTTTTATTATCTATACCATCTGAAAAGAATGTACACTGCATGAGGGCAGGGGCTTTTTTATTCACTGTTGTCTCCCCCTGACATGCTATAAACATTCAATAAATAACTGCTTAAAGAATGGACGAGTCCAACTGCTCATTTACTGATGAAGAGACTTAGGATCAGGGAAACCTGTGCCTTCTCTTTGACCTTATGGCGACACAGGGTAGAACCCCATTTAGAACCTTCAATCCCCATTGCCATTCCAGCATTGTCTTCACTGCATCATGCTGCTTTTAATATTCCTGGAGCGTTCAGAAGTTTCCATAATAATTATTAACTAGTAAGTTTTTTTTCTACTCCACAATTTATACAGAGAAATCCCATTTCTTCCTTACCTTTATCTGTTCAATTATTTTTTCATCTTCTGGCACAGCAGGGTCTATAGCAATGATAACTCCTTCATAGCCATTGTTATTCAGCTGAACCAGGGAAGCATTGGACTCCTGCAGCAGGGATAGGACTAAGAGGAAGAGAAAACTTCTGAATAACCCCATGGTTCCTCTGAGTTGTCCTGGCCCCAATGTCGGTTTCTTCAAGAGGCTTTCTTTCACCACCTTTCTCTCCATAGATATATATATATACTCCTAAACATTATCAATAGTGGCTGATTATTTGAGAATGACTGTATAAAGGTCAATGTTACACGTGTGGGAAAATATTTGACCTCAGTTTACACATCATTTATTATATCTACAGGAAACAGGTTGGCTCAGGAAACAGAGTCACTCAGCACGCTCAAAAGGGTTGGGTTTCCTTGTCTATTACAGGAACAAGAAGAAGCTTTGAAAAAATTTAGTTGTTATCAAACATCCCAAACTTATAATTTCGAAGATATTACTTTGTAATGATACCACGTTTTTTTTTCTTTGTTCATGGAGTCCATTTAAAGATATATTAACAAAATAGTAGAATGGATGCATGAACGTGGCAACAATCCTGAAGTTGGCATGTGCAGCATGAGGTTAGGAAACCTGGTATATGGTGGTTCATATAATTATCTAATTCATTTTAGATATTAAATACAATTTCATGATGTAGATTAACTATAATTTAAGAATTCACTTACTGATGAACATTTATAGGTATTTATGTTTCCAGTTTGGGGATTACATAATGTAAGAGAAAGTCTTCTCCCCATACTTTCACTAGCCCCAGAAATTGTACAGTTAAAAATTATTTTTGCTGCTTGTGGTTATTATTATTGGTGTGCTCATTATTTCATTAATTTTTATCAGTAGTCATTGCTTTCATTACTTTTAGATTTATAAGGTAATTCCTTTTCTAGCTTCTCAAGTTGATTGCTAGCTAATTTATTTTAATTTATTTTATTGTTGTTTAGGAATAAATGCTAAAACAAGTGCATTGGGTACTATTTTGGCATGTCCCGCCAATTTTACTATATTGTGTTCCAGTCTAGACATCTATTTCGTTCCACTGATAGTATTTGACATTTACTACCTCATACTTATAAATTTAACTTTGATTTTGATTTCCTCTTTAGTTGTGCACCAGACTGGGGATATTTGGAACATTTAATGCTGAGGCTGTTTTGCTTAAATCCTCCCAGTGTCCTTAAATCTCATACAGTAATTTCAGATTTGATTGTATTAATTTTTATTTCACTCTTTATAAGATCCCTAGGTTGATACATGCAATATTACAAAATTGATAAATATGGGTTTTTTTGGGCAAATATAATTGCTATGAATTGTTTCTGTATGAAACCTTTATTAGGTACAAAAACCTTTATTCAACTTCAAACTACAGTTTTTGTTAAGTTTAGTTTTCAGATCATAACCCCAGAAGGAAAATAGTTTGTAAAATTTGATTAATAATTGATTCCAGTGGGTAACAGATTCTATTATATAGTATTCACAGTTTGAGTGGGCATTTAGGATCTTAGAAGAACCTACCTTTACTCTGTTGATAACTGCCTACCCTCCTCTCTTTCTGTCTCACACAGACATTTTATTGGCTGTCATAAGCCACGGTGGATTCCCATTTGAATGAGTAACACTGTTTTCCAAGAGCCATAAAAGAAACCGATTTGTCCTTTCCCATGTTAAATTTATCAGTGAGAGGAGAGGTTCCCTGTATTCCTCATAGGGAGAATGAATAGGGCAAGATAAGAAAATGGGATGTTAATTTTATGTTTTTTCTTTTTAATATACGTCTCAGATTCTTCTCTTCTCTGGGAATTTAGCTGAACAACACTGAATTCTGCAGGGAGAGCCAGACTTCTGATTACCATGGCGACACAGAGGTGTCCTGTCATGGGATTTTAGAAACATGGGTCAGTCACATGCTAGGAGAGTAACAGCCAGTATCTTTCCTTATGAGAAAGGATTTGGATTACTTTATTGAGGCAAGCATATGGTCTATGATTTCACTTTTGATTTCCTGGAAGGAATGATATCTGTAAATTTTTCATTTTAAAAAATGAAAAGAGCTTCTTTTTGAATTGCAAGGCTGAGTTACTCACCCTTATATAAGTTTCTGAAGGCAACACTAAATTTCTATTAGTGTGAGTTATTCACTATGAACACAGAACCTGGAGTATAAATAGGTTGCAATTCATCGTGTTAGACTTAAGTTTCTTCCTCCTTCTCTTTTGGATCTCCCTGTCCACAGTGTGTGTTCTGTTCCACATTCCCTGTGCTAAGCACGCAGGGGTCAGGGTCCTGTCCTGCCTTCTAGAGGCAGATCTGGAAAGCAGTCTCTCTTTCCCTACTACTAGTGTCCAATTTACGTTGAGGCTGCGATTCCTTCTGTACCTAGGCAGAAAAGTATCTGCTTTGCAGAGTATGTTTTGGGGATGGTGGAGGGAGTATCTTGCTGAGTTCTAGACTTGGAGAGCAGCATTAGAAATCCCAATTGTGGCTTCAGGTCCAGTCATATTTATTATTCCAACTTCACCATAGATATATCCAGTATTTTGATGATCTATCTGACTCCTATGTCTCTTTCCAAATCAGTTCCACACTAGAAAGGAAAATGTCTTTTTTTTGCTGTTTTTGTTTTTGTCACTTTAAAGCCCAATATATTAAATAGGGAACAATGTGAAATCACATGTTCTTGTACATTCTTGGGACATCCCACCATTAGAAGGTTCTTTTTATTGGCCCTTTTCCTACCTAGAGTTCTTTTGCTTTAAACAGAAAGTTTGCCAAAGAATTTTGGGCCAGGAGCAAGTACTTACAGATTCATCTATTTGTGGTGATCTCTATAACCCATTCTTTATGAATATAGGGAATCCTATAAGGATTAGGGAGAACTAATATTTACTGAGCACCCATGTGAGATACTCTGATTGTTACTTTACTTTAACTCATTTAGTTTTCATAATCACTCTTTGAGATAGGTATCATCATCCCCTTCTGCAAATGGTGAAACAGAGACTGGAGATGTTAAGTAAATTGTCCAAGTTCACATTGCCTGGAGAAGGGAGGACATAGGATTTGAACCTGTGTCTGTCTCTACATCTTGCTACGGGTAGCTATATTTTGCCTGGTTGGTTATACCTTGGGGTATGGTAGTGGGCATTCTTGGTCCTCTGCCCCAATCCCCTCATATCCCTTTTACTGTTCCTGTATGTTCCTTCTCCCTGTGTCAGGGTGCTTTAGCTTCCAATGGCCCACACTAGCAACTCTTCTCTGGAGGATGGCCCACAGGCTACAGGAACTGCTTTGCCCACTTATGCAGAGAGCTAGAGGTAGCTTACATCCTCCCAGGTGGTCCTTACCCAATAACTGACAGGTGCAAGGATGTGAAATCTCAGTGCCTTTGCTTTGAGTTGGGACAAGTTCCAAGGTGTAACTTACTTACCCACTAGAGATCCCTGTGGGATCAGCCTGATGCCACCTCCACGGAGTTTTGCCTGTAATGAACACCCCAATGGACTTCCTCTCTTTCCCTGTTCTGCCTCCCCTCCTCCGTTACCTCTTTTCCTTGAGAACTTCCTTAGTAAATTGCTCTTACACAAATCTTTGTCTCAGGGTCAGCTTCTGGAACCCAGCCTAAGATAGGGTGTCATATCTTAACTTCTCAGATAATAATATTTATTAAGCACTTACTGTATGCCAAGCATGTGACATTCTTTAAATCTATTAACTCATCTAATCCACAAGACAACCCTATGAGTAGACACCATTTATGATTTCACAAGTGAGAAAACTGAGCCTTAATAACTTGCTCAAAGTCATACAGCCAGTAGGTATCGAAACCAAACTGAAACCCTGGTCTGACTCCCAAGCCATATGTATAACCCCTAAGTTGTATCCTCGGGGACACATCATTTCCCCTGATAAGGAGACCAACTCATAGTGGGTCAACCACTCCATCTGTGGAAGAATACTAAAAATAAATGATGAAAATTCCAGTGCAAAAATCAAATTCTCATATATTTTACAATTTTCTTTACCTAGTCCACAAGATCTAGATTTCTGTAATTGGGGAGAATAACAAATCTTGTTTGGGCAAAGCAAATTATATAACACATCATATAGTCTTTAGACTAGTCTCTTGAATATTTATGGAGTATATGCTTTGTGATAAGCTCAAAAGATAAAAAAGTTCTTGCCCTTAAGGAGTCCACAGTTTAGTGAACGAGATTGACCTAAGAAGATCTATAGTACAATCTGATAAATGCTGTAATAAAAATGTATGATAGCAAGGAGGAAGGAGCAAGGAATTCTGAGGAAGAGCTGGAGATGGAGTTAGGAATGACATTTCAGCTGAGTCTTATAGAATAGATAGGATTATAATGTTTTATTATTTTAATTTAATTTAGTTCTACTTTTCTTTTCTTTTCTTCTATTATTTTATGAAGGAAGGACACCTGCCAGAATTGTGTTTGAAATGGAGGTCAAAATCTCAGAAGTAGAAAATGGCCTATGTCTTTGCTGCTTCTAGTTTTTAGTTCTAATATTTTAGTTATTCTAACACAAAGATCTAGATCTTAGTATGCTTCCTCTGGTGGGCAGAATAGCAGTGCTTCTTTCTTTGATTGATTGATAGAGTGGACCGAGTCACTATTGTCTTTAAAATGACCCAGAATTATTTTACAATTAGAATGTTTGCTTCCAAGGAGTGATTGCTTATATTCATAATTAAATTAAACACATGACTCTAAAATTGAGATTTCAATTTTTCAAATGTTTCTAATATGGAGATAGAACTTGGAGATGTTAATGGCAGCACTGGATAAAGGAGTTTCCAACCTGTGGATTAAGACTCTCAGGGAGACTCAAGTTTATTGAGGTGGGCATTCAAATCCATATGCATACACGCATTCCTTTTCCAAGCCACAGACACTAGAGCTCTTATCTTGTGGGGCAGCAATAAGACAAAGTGGTTGAGAATATAAGGGTTTGGAGTTGTGCTGCCTGAGTTCAAACCCCAGCTTCATCATTAAGTAAGTGGGTGAACGTGGTTAAGCTACTTAACCTCTCTGTGCTTCAATTTTATCATTAGTAGAGTGAGGATGATAATAAACTTGCCTCAAAGAATAGTTATAAGACTTAAATGAAT